ACTTTATTTATTTGATAGAAAGTGATAAATGTGACCTTTTGAGAATGTCACTTCTTGACCAACTATTTGTTGTCTACAAAATTCCAATCCAAACTCTAAATAGTTTTTGTCCCTTCACTTAGTCCTTAATATGTAATGCTAAGTATTTAGAGACCCACCATTACGTTTTTAGTTTTTTGAATAGTAGGGAAGAGTAGGATTGTTTCGACGATACTAAAACAAAGGAATATGAAATTGGCCTTTAATTTATGGGGTTAGAACTTAATACAAACTTTAGTTTTGAAACATAAAGAACAGGGGTAAAATAAACTATAGACCATTTAATGCTTTTTTTTTTTTTTTATCTTTTGTGATTTTTTTCCTCATTTTCTTTCTTCGGTTTGAGCCGGCTTGTGGTGGTGGAGAGCCTAGATCATGTTGTTTCTTTTTCTTCTTGCATAGACCATTCAATGTTTCTCCTTTTCTTTTATGATTTTTTTTTCTCATTTTAGTCGAGCAAATTCATGGTGATAAAGAGCCTAGGTAATGACCATATTTTTTTTCTATTTGAGAATTATCACAAATGATGGATCCGGGTTTTTGTGTCTTGGTTGAAAATGAATTTTGTATCAATCTTTTTTCGTCCTCATCCAATTTTTTTTTTTTTTTTTTTTTTGCTTCCTTCGAGTAGGTACTATGTGCATTTAGTTTTAACTATATTGATAAATAAATGAGAATCAAATCTCTTTAAACCATGAATACTTTCTATAAAAAATCTTCATATCAGTCCTTGAATAAAGACAAGGAATCAACCTAGTAGCAGACCAATCAATATTCGGAAAGATAGTGTGGATAAAGTCAAAATAACCTAGAGATGTGCTCTTGTAGCCAATTCAGAGTTGTGCTTTTTGAAATTGAACTACAAAGCGCAAAAAAACTACTAAAACCATATGTTAATAATTTGATTCACATTGCTATATGTTACACACTACAATCATTATTGTAACTACTAAAACTTCATTGTGTCTTGTGCAATCGGTCCCATGATTTTGGTTCTTATGTCCACTCATTGTTAACTCGGACAAATTAAAATGCAAGTCGTACTTATTTCGATCTTTGAAGTTCTTGAAGTAGATGTCGGTATAATATCCAAAATCCTCCCCGATTAAGAAAAATGAAAGAAAGGAATCAGCTAATTCTTATAGCCTATATATATATATATATATATATAACTAGGTAATTGGATGTCTAGTTTATAGACAACAAAATCCGGAGACTTGTACTTACTCTCGCTACTTGTATAGCTTGATAAAACATCCTCTCATTTACCCTATTATACGTGAATCGAACATTATATAAGTTTCCATTCTAATGAAGAAAATGAAGATCATTGGCAAATTTCAAAAGCACTTCATTAGCCTCAACTCGGTAAATGCATCCCCGAAACGGAAAGGTAAACTATTTTAAATGTAATAATACGGAGAAAACACTAGTTTTTCAAAATTGGACATGCCAAGAGAAAATCAATCCTCTTCCGAGTGAAGAAATTAGTAATATAACCATCCTTAATAAGGGAAAAATCATTATATGGGGTGTTAGTAGACTAATTCCATCTTAAAGACCGATAGGGTGAGGTCGGCTCGTCGACTTAGTTACAAGTTTCACAGTGGCAAGATAAAGCATGAAATAAATAAACACGAAGAAATGGATAGAGATTCAACTTATATTTTGCTTCATTTATGGTAAAAAAGGTACCTCATCATTTGACATTCTAAATAGATTGCAAGAAACCTCTTCGAGTAGATATTCCAAGACACTAGATGAAGTTAGCTGGTAAGCATCTATTAAAAAGTTCACATTGAACAACAAAATGTAATTTTGAAAAATTAACAAGGAATCTCATTACAAGTGTATAAAAAGGATTACCAACTTAACCTTTTATAATTTTTATAACTTGTAATTTTGAGTAAGTATGAAGAAGGGTAAACTAAGTCGGGCTCAAAGGTTCCCGCTAAGAAGCACTCCATAATTCTCAAGCTTAAATAACCTACTCCTAAGTTACACATCAACTAACCAACTTACCCTCTCAAACGAATTACTTACGAGAATAAAATGACTTGTTGTAACGAGAACTACAACAAATTCATAACTTTTTCACGAACTTAGAGCACATCACATGCACCGGATGTGAATTTGTAAACGTGAATTTGTACACCATATTGAGTTATTTACCTCGTGTTATTTGATATGTACTTAATCCGTCGATTATGCACTATTCTACGTACCCATGTTTAATGCACTTTGGTGATCTAATTTACATCCTTCCATGAATAGCCGACATTTCATCTTACATGGATAACTACTACTATAAGATAAGATATGTCTTCCAAAATAGGAACAAACCTGATATACATTATCATCGAGTGCTTTTTCAAGCTTCAAAAAACACGATCGCCATATACGAGCGAAGGCCTTCATTCGACCAATCCATGTACCTCAAGAGCGAAAAAACCCTTTCCTTCTCATGTTAACACACCATGTTATGGCACCCCATTTCTTCTTGAAACAAATATGACCAATGTTAAAGCTAAAACACATTGACTATTTGCATATACTCGAAATAACCAATCATTCATGATTACCTCTAAATGTAGCTCTTTCATTACAAGCAATGTATTGAAGAATGTAGCATAACTCTCCATACTCAAATCTTCCACAATAACATCAAAGACTTGCTTATTCTATAATAACTCTCCGAGATCCGTTTGGATTAGAAACTTACGAAGTTTATACTTAAATTCTCGAGTTGTTGCCTCGACAGGATCCGAGGAAACCACATACCAAAAGTAATTCATCATAATTAAATAATTAATTTCAAAATTCATTCTAAGAGATCCATATCAAATGTAATTATTAACTTAAAAGAGCAACAATTACTTACTTTTAAAAAATAATGATAATGATAAAAAAAAAAAAAAGTTGTTACCTTAATGAAAATGGTGGGGATGTGAGAATGGTCATCGAAAACAACAACGAAATCAGCCAAGACAACAACATTGCTATGAATTTCCTTGGAGACGCACTTAGTTTCGGATGTTGATAGATTCAACCATACAGCTTTCGCTAGTCATGAAAAGATTGCTGCTACAAATCAACACTCCTAAAATACAAACCAATACCAATTCGCCACGCACCCCATCTCTCTCAGATTTTTCTCTTCCCCTCCCCTCTATTGAGTTTGGGATTTTCAATTTATGAGATCGAAATGAAAGAAATAGAGGAGATGTTGATGTATATTATATCTCATTCTCTTTCTCTTCGGTAAACGATTCACCGTTTTGGTTCTATTTGATAACATTTTTTTATATTAAAAAAAAAAGAAAAAAAAACTCATGTGTTAAATGTCTCATTATCAGCATTAAAAAAAATGACATTTATATAAAATTTGATGCATAACAAAAATTACTTTATTTTTATAAATAAGATTAAAACAATTTTATTTTAGTAAATAAGTTTTACAGGTATCTTGTTTTAAAAAAAAAACTCGGTTTCTAAAAGTGTTATGCTGTCGTTAGATCAGATTTGGACTGTAGTCTGTGGAGTTTTTACATGTCTTGGTAGTCTCCACGGGGAACAAATATTGGTTATGAGGCCTGACAGTGATTTTTTGTCTTTGAATTTTATCAGATCCAGATCCTCCACCAGTAATGGGCCTGCATTTGTACTATGATAGTATGATACCATAGCGAGTTTTGTCCCTAGACTTTTGTATCTTGTAGTTTTCTAGCTTTTGGGGCTTTTCAGCCTCATTTTGTACAATATATACAAATAAAAAATTAAAAAAGCCAGTTCTATTTTCTTGAGTTTCTGATACTCAACTGCTTAATTTCCAAGTACAGACTCGTGTTAACTTTGCTGCAACTCGGTGGATTATGCTTGTGTTCTGCTATCATACGCGAGTACACAATAACATATACTAAACAAAAAAAAAAATTAAAATCTCTTAATTGCATTTCATCATTTACCAGCAATTGATCTTACTTCTTAGAACCAAAAGAATTCTCAATTAATTTGCGCTGTTTTAGAAGTTACAGCCTAGACAGCTGGGGTGCAATCGAAGCTTAAAGAACAAGGGATCCATCCTAGGCCATGTCATGCCATGTGTATGTTGGTTGGAATTTTGATCTTACTTTATTTATGAAAAAAGTAGATTGTTTTTGACCGTGATAACCTGTCTCAATGATCACGTCCCAACAACTTTTGTCACTAGACTTGCTAGCACCACCACTGATGGAAGTCAATCACTACCAGCTCCATGCCCCAGCAGGCAAAAAACATCATAACAAGGTCCCTCGTTACATGCTTTGTGCTTGGTGGTCAAGCACCCTTTTTTTGCTAAAAGGCACCATGTAGGATACCACTAGCTATAGTAGCATGCTTTTCCTATTCAGGTGCTCAAGATTAAAGACTTCCAAGTTAACTTTAGCTTCAACCAAAAAAGCCCCACTAACTTGATAACTTTTTCACACAGACGTTAACTAATCTTGCTCAAGTGTGTAACCAATCTGCATTAATGCTAAACCCATCCTAGACCAGACACACCAGACACAACAAATCATGTATTGCTCTTAAATTAATAACATTTCGTTCAGAAGCTAGATGAACATGCATGCTATTCTAAAATAATCCACAAAAGGAAATCTTAGATGCCATATAAATTTTTATCAATCAACCATCTGTGAGACATACGTAGAGGTTAAAAAAACAAAAAAAAAAAACATGATTTTCCATTCATAATATAATAATAGATTAGCCACTCTCATTTAAAGGAAAGCCTCAAGGAGTGACTTTTGAGCGATCGACCACAATTTAAGCCCATTTTAACCCAACAAAACATCCGAACCACATCTTAAGAAACAAGATTAATTAAGCATATAGTTAGCGCTAGTAATAGCATAATACTTATATGTAGTAGTGGTGGTGGGGAAAATAAGGAGACTAGGGAAGGGACATTAGGTGGGTTAAGATCCTTGTTCAAGGACATTTGGGTCCTCCTTCCTTGGTCTTCCAGTTGTTGTAGCAAGGGCACACAGCTTTATTGCCATAAAACCCTGGGGGAACGCAGAGGCACTTCCTGCAGCACTTCTGACAGAAGAACATGCATGGCTTATGATACTGGGTCTTCTTGCACCTCCTCGAGCATTGTGACGGGCACTCTGGTCATTTCACATGTCAATAAAGGTCAAAAGCATCATCCTTGTTTCCCATCTAGTCTATAAATCATAAGGGCTACTTTCAAGAATTTGACCACAGTCAAACGCTTACTTATATTTATTGATTCATTGTCAGATCTTGAAGAGCACAAATCAAGAATTGCAATGGAATATTTTCTTTATAAAACTTGTATATTTCAGGAAAAAAAAGAAAGAAGGAAAATAAATAATCTCACAGATCTTTTCCAAACTGGGAAATTGCAAGCAATTTTAATTCTTGCCTTGTGTATTTTTAGAGGCCAAATGAGGGACAGAACATGTAAAATAGGAAAAAAAATGCAAAATACAGTAGCTATTAGAAGTACTTACGGAAGCTCTTGAGACTCCCAGGTCCATTTTTGTTCTGCAACCACAGCACAATGACATTACAATCTTAAAACGTGACTAAGATTCTTGAACCGAAAATAAAACATTTTCCAGTTTACGAATATACATTATGCGATTCATACACATACAAGAATTATAACAGAGAGCTGACCTTGTTCTTATAGAGTTGACCTCCAGGCCCATTGGATGCTAAAACCTGAAACAACAGAGCAAAACAAAACAATGTCAAGAAAAACAAAAGAGAAGAAAGAACAAATCCATTTCAGCTTGTGGGGTTTTTATTTTTCTCAGTTGGGGGTGGGGGTTCATAGAGATCGAAGAAAGAAGGGATCTTTACGTACCAAGGTTTGGAGCATTGAAATGGCAAGGAGAACCAAGAGAAAGACAGCAGCAAACTTAGCCATGGCCTTGCTACAAAGCAAACCCCTTCTTCCTAGCTTGTCCAAACACCAAAAAGAGATCAAAAGAAATGTGAAAGCGAGAGGAGGGGTTTGATTGTGGAGAGTACCTTGCAGTGTGGGGTATATATAGGGATTTTTAATGGGAAGAGATTGAGCTAAGAGCACATTATCTGTGATCCCTCACATGGGTCACAAAGTGGCCTTACTGGAAATGAAATGACACGTTTGCATGCCCTTTTTGCTTATATGTCCACGTTTGGTCCATTCTCCAAGCCGGACTGCAAAATTTCGTATTATCGTCCGTAATTTTAATGGAAATTGATGATTACTACTCAATGCCTGATGGTTTTATGCAAAACACTGTAAAGAGTGAAATGGGCCGAAGATGTTCTTTTTTTTTTTTTTTTTTTTTTTGGTTGGGGGGGGGGGTTAAAAGATGTTCGAAATTTTCAACCTAAGTGATAAGTATAACTGTAAAAAAAAAAAAAAACAAAAAAACAAAAAAAAAAAAAACAAAACAATTAGTGAATGTTTGGTCTTATTGTGCTTTTAAAACACGTGATTTTAACTTCTTTTTTTTTTTTTTTTTTAAAAAAAGAAGTAATTGGTTAATACATGAGTTGTTTTGGAATCAAAACAAGTGTTATTCTAAAAAGAAATTGCTTTGCCTTATGTTTTTAGTCAACTTATTTTTTGATGTACTTTTTTAGTTAAAATGATAACTTTTTCTATTATTGTTTTTTACAAGCACAAATTCAAAAATTAATATGTTTGTGTAATTCTATTTCAATATATATATATATATATATATATAATTGATTTTATTAAAATGATGTGTCTATATTTATATTACCATGTTATTTAATTATTTATTTTTTTAGTTTTTCAAACTTTAGCGCGTTTACATAAGTTCAAGAAGTTATAAATCATTTAGTATAAATAAAATATATATTTTTTTATCATTTTATATTTCAAAAGCATAATAATAATATTTAAATAAACACTATTTAGCTAATATAAACAATCATAAGCACAACACAATAACATCGAACATTATTTTTACCTCATCCCACAACATAATACAGTATAACGCAACACAATAACATCAAATAAACCCTTAGTGTAGTTCCAATCTTATTACAAACAAGTAAATTATAAATTAGTCATTTTAGTTTTAAAAATTAAATTAATTATTTAAAAAAATTAATTATTTAGTCTATTGATCAATATTTTATCATGTTTAATTTAATATTATTTTATTAAAAAAAATATTTTTTAAAGATATTTATTTATTATTTTTAAAAAAATATAAATAGATAAAAAATTAAATAATTAGTTTTTAAAACAAAAGAGACTGATTAATTTATTTCTCAAAAATAAAAAAATAAAAAAATAATTTATTTTATCACACACAATACTCACAAAATACAATAGCTAATGGAATTCAAGTTGGAGTGCAAATTTTGGTATCATCGGTCATTAGATTTGAATTTAATAATTTAAATTTAATTGATATGAGAATCATGTTTAAAAAAAAATGAAAAATCTTACATTATTCCATGCGATAACTATCAATTAATGAATATTTGTGTAATCTATTGTTTTATACTCCTTAAAATTGACATGTTTAGTCGTCAATTAATGGATTAGGAAATAAGACGTTAATCTACAAGCGCGAAATTAAACAATGGTTCTGGTAAGGAAGAAACCAGAAACGATTTCGTTTCTGACATGATCGTTACCCTAAAATTCATTCAAGTGATATATACATATAATAGTTGTGGAATTAATTCACATGTTTCTAATTCCAAGTAATAAATGAAAGCATGTAGCGATCCCGGGAATATGCGAAAAGCGGCAACTTGCTAATAATTAATATTTAGTTCCCAACTTATATCACTTTTCTTAATTAAGTTCATGATCCATATTTTTAATCAATCGGATCCCCAGCAGGCTCAAGAATCCTCAACTTTAACCCTTAGTGTTGACAGATAGACCTAACATTTTCTATACATTGAGAATCTAATTGAGGGAAAAAGAAAAAACTGGTTGCATTTATAGATTGAATGATCCAGTTGAGAATTCTCCCATGCATTAGAGATCCAATACGTTAAAAAAAAAGCTTCGTAACCAGTCGAGAAAAAGGCATTACGCTGGGGATTAATGTGAGGTTGGCCCTTATTAACATTTGATAGGTGAGCTGGTGAGCGATTTTACTGCAAACACTAAACTGTAATAGAGCTCGGTAGCTTAGCCTTTATAGAAGTAATAAAAATATAGGGTGAAAAATAGCCACAAAAAATTAAAAATTTATTAAATTGAATGAAGCACAGTGACGGTGGATTGAATTAAAGAGGGGAAGGCGAGAGTTAGTTAAGTAGTTGTGGATAGGGGGTCCACACTGACAGATAAGTCAAACAGAACTGAAACATTGATTGAGAACAGTCAAAATTATTTTTTATTGAAAAGAAAAACAAAAAGATAAAAATCAAGTTAAAGTAATTAAATCCTAGACAGGGAAAGGGCCTTCCGCTTAAATCATGTGCATCCACGGAGCGGAGCACATGAGCCAAAGCTGCGCCGCTTTGACAAAAGTGCGCACCTTGCGCTGTAAACCACGCATCCTTCTTTACATGGTCCCACACCGAACTGCCATGCTATAATTGATTCCGAGAGTACTATATTTTGCAATTTTATTCCCAATAATTACTAACCTAACAATTAAAAAGACGGATGATGATCCACTTAGCATGTAATTGATGAAGTAATTTTCTTCTTATATTTATAATTTGTGCGAGTTCCAATCCATTCTCAACATATAATATGTATTTGTGGCAAAGTTTTTAGATTCTTCAATTTGTTCCGAAAAGAAACAAGAGAAAATAAACACCTTCAATTATTAATTATCATTATCGACCAGAGCCTTAAAGTGCTGGGGAAGTCACAACCTAACAATAGAGAACTAAAAAATTCTAAATAAGCTGGTCCATGTAAATATCTAAATAAAGAATATGTTACGAGTGTGAAAAATATTGAGATCATCGATGTCACTTTCTACTTGAGATAGATTGCATTATACGCACATGAAAATTAAAGTCTAGTCTTACTATATAACAAATCTATACTTAAGTGAATTCATTTTTATTAAGATAGATTGATGGAGTAGTTTGAGATTCGAGCCGATCAAATGCCTATTTCTCTATTTTAAAGAAAAAATATTTAAAATGGGAAGCTATTGACGGCTTCATCCTATAATACGTAATTGAGAGATCGATTATGGTCTTGACCTACCACACAATTAGGAGACCATAAATGGTCTCAACCCATGGCACACAATTAGAAAACCTTTGACGATTTCGATCACATAATTTGGAAACAACGAGATAGTTTCCCATTTAATTAATTGGAAAGTCACAAACGACTTCGATTCATATAATTGAGAAGCGATCAATGACTTCATCTACACAAATAGGAAGCCATCAATAACTTTGGTTCACACAACTTATTGATGACTTTGTCCACTTGAATGAAAAGCCAACACCGACTTCGATTCAATTCAATAAAAACAAACATGGCAATAATTGGGAAGCCACCAATGATTTCGTCCACACAAATAGAAAACCGTCGACAACTTCAGTTCACATAACTAGAAATGTAATAATCGATACCCGCTAAACCTAGAATTTAATTAAAAATTAAATATTAAACACATGTGAAAAATGTTTTGAGGATAAGAAATAATTATTAAGGACTTAAAAGAATATTTAGAATAGTTAAAATAGTTTTTTTTATGCTTAGGGAATATTTTATTGATTTTACGATGCATGAATAGTAGTTTTTGCATGAAATAATTATTTAAAACATGTTGTATGTGCATGAAAATTTTTTTGTTTGTTTAGAATATTTTTCAAAGGGGTGTGAATTATTTTATGTGATTCTATGAATTTTCTTGTTTGTTATGAATATTTTATTTTAATTATTAGCTATGGGAATAGTGTTTTAGAGGTAGAAAAATTAAATTATGTGCTTTAAAGGAGTGAGGAATTTTTTTTTAAGGACATAGAAAAATCATATAAGATGTGTAGGAGTACCTAATAAATTTAAATTAATTTTATCCGAGTGTAAGGAATATTTTTCGTAGGAAATAGTGTAATGTTTACACTAAATAATTAATTTGGAGGTCTAAATGAGGTACAAAAATTATGAAAATTTAGATAAATCCTCCTAATAAATTTTTAAATTTATTATGAAAAGAAATTGAATTTTTGAAAAGATTAGAATAAAATTTTAGAATTAAGGACCTAATTGCATAGAAATGAGGGACTTACTTGCATAAAATTAAAAGTTTGAACTTCTAAATCAAATTAGCAATGAACCTAGGGAGTTTAAAAGTTGTTAAGATACCTTTAAGGAAAGGGTTTTAAGTGATCAATTGACTGATGGAAGGAGTAATTAGAGAAAAGATTAATAAAATGAGGGATTAAAATTTAGAAAACATTTTTGAACTCTTTCACCACTTTTTAGCCGAATTTGCTGTTTGATTAGGCCCTAATTAATACACTTTGAATTGTTTAAAAAGAATAGTTTAAGAAGAATGCAAGATGGAAGGTTTAGAATAAAAGAAAAATCAAAGATTTAAGATTTATCCATTTGAAAGGCTAGGATTAAAATTTATTTCAATGGCCAAGATCACTCGAAAATACCTTAATTCAAGGGTGGAGATGAGTCAAAATTCCACCCAAATTATGCCTATAAATAGGGGTGCATGGAATTAAGAAAAATGCATGAAAATAGCTAAAAAAAAGGGAGACTCTTGCCAATTTTCCCTAGGAATTTCCACTTAAAAACACCCAAAACCACCCCTAAACACCTTGAATCACCTAGCTAAACAAGGAAATCAAACTAGAAGCTCAAGAATTTTCAAGAAGAAAAATTTGGGTTTAGGCCGAAATTTGGAGGAAGAAGTGGAAGGAAGAAATTTGCAATCTTTCTACTTTGTGAAGTTAATTTAGAGCTTGTCTAGGTAATGTAACTTCACCTACACCACAAACAAGTTTAATTTCATGTTAATTGGATGTTTAATTGCTTTGATTGTGATTAATTGTATTAAGTATAAAAAATTAGAGTTAGGGTTCTTGATGACTAAAGATTGGAGGAAATGAAATTATTTGGTATTCAAGAAATTGAGATTTAAATAGGTTGATTAGGCTTGAAATTGAGGTTAAAACTAAAAAATTCCTAGGGTTTTCTAAGGGGTATCATCCGACCTATATATCCAATTTGGGAGTTTTTGATTCATCAATGTAATTGATGTTCTAGCACTTGAATATGACTTAGTTAGGTTTGAATTTGTGTTTAGAAATTAAAATTTTTACTTTAATTGAAGAAAAATTCAAAAAATACCAAGGGTTATATTCGACCTAATTAAGGATTTTTAAGGTTTGAGTTTCATGCATCCAATTTATGGTTTGATAATCAATTTTCACTTGAAAATGAGTACATTTTGATGTGTAGAAATGGAAAACTTGAAGAAAATTGATTAAATGGACTTAGGCCCACTTTTAGCCCATTAAGGCCCAATTCGGGTTTGAGCATGATTTTGTACCCTAAATGATAATTAAATGAATTCTTATGGTCAATGTATAATTTGAATACTTGGTATTAAATTTATAGGATAAAATGAGAAGAAATTATTAGGGTTTGAATGTGAGGGAGATTCGACCCAAATGGAACTCTTTAGGGTTTTAAGTTCCAGTTGATTCTTAACCTTTAAATTGAGTAATTCAAGGTTAAAACAATGTAATGAGGTGAATTATAATGAATAACTTCATAAAAATTTAAAATTTGGCTTATGAAGGTCAAGTTCAAGCTTAAGCCCAATAAGGCCCAATTTAGGATTAATGCATAATTGGATTAGGTTATGAAATGGGATGAAATGGAGAAAATTTGATGTGCCATGGACATTAAAACTTAAAAGGAAATGGGTAGCCTACGGTAAAGAACCATTCAACCTAAAGGAGAAAAAATAGACTTTTAATGAGTTTTGTATGGCTTTCATGTTCAATGATGTGTTTGAATGGTGATTCAAGTACTTGACTTATAAGTATTGTTTATGGATAAAATGTGAATATTTGTGAGATTATGTCCTTTGAATGGTATAATCATATTGATATGGTTTGAGATGGATAAATTTAACCATGCAAAGTAATGTATTAATGCCATTATCTTATTTATTTTCATTATGCATTACATTATAATGTATATGCATGCCTAATTTCACGAAGAATGTTTTAAGTCATGAAAACGTATTTTATATCATGATTTTTTGGTAGCAATCAAAAATATTTAATGAATATGGTTCTTTATGACTTGGAGGATTTCTTTGAGGATGAACTTATGGGTTTTCCAAATGGTAATGGTTCGAGGTATGGACAAGTACAAATGTGCACTTTTAAAGGCTCGCTAGGGCCCATCCATGGATAGATTTAGTTCGCCGGACATATGTTATGAAAACCCTAAAGTATCTCAATGAGACATATCCAAAGACAGAAAAAGAATTTTCAGCCTCTTTATAAAATGCTTTGTGACATGGAAAGAGGGTTTATTATGCATACATCGGTATTTTGTACATGCACATCACTACATGCAAAAGTTAATTTAATGAGCTATCGCTCACTTATATGTTCGTGGTGTAGTCAATATAGGTAAAGATAGTGTTCATGACATTTGAGCCGACTACCGAGAGGTCCACTTGTTGCATGTACATAGGATGTGATTCGCGTATGGATTTTATTTACACTATAGCGATTGTTATATTGGGTATTTTAGTTTACTTTTTAGCTATATTAGTGTTCTTTTGTATAATAGTTAAAGCAATGAACCAAGTAAATGAAGAGATAAGAAAAATGAACATAGGTAGTCAATAAGCTATTTTTGTCTTAGATGGCGTTAAACTAGTTTTGTATATAAATAGTAGCTTGTATGTAATCAAAACACTAGTAGTAAAGTGGTAGTATGGTTTTAGTTAGTATTGCTTACCCTAAGCTATTTATTTTCACGCTAGTATCACTAGAGGGATAAAGCAACATAAATGGATAGATAGTAATTAAAATAAATAGAGGGATAGTAATTAGCAACATAAATGGATACATAGTAGCTAAAATAAATAGACGAGATAGTAATTAAATTAATTAAAATAAATTAAGTATATGCAATTACATAGAAAAGAAATTTAAGGAAATCAAGGATCACGGATTCGATCGTTTCGATTCACGAGAAGTAAATAGGGTAACAAGATGCCAAAAATTCATAGTGCATTTTAAACTAAACATAAGACCTAATCATTATTAGTAAACTTTTGCAGCATAATTACTCCTATATAAGTTATAGATAGGTCACGATGTCTTGTTAGCTTACATTCATTGCACTTCGAATGTAGGTTAATAGCGAGTAATATTCTCGACCTATTGATCCTAGGTTGGGGGTGTTATAGGAAAGTTGCTGATGTCTTCATTCTCATGAATGGAAAGCCACTACTAATTCTATCCAATTCAACATGATCAAACATGGCAATAATTGAAAAGTTACAAACGACTTTGGTTCACACAATCATGAAGTCATCGATAATTTCGTCCATACAAATCAAAAGCCATCGATG